TGTGCAAGCCGTTAGATAGGAAAACGTCAGTCTCTGGAAAGTCCTGCCTAACCAAGTCCTAACATCACTATTATCTGCTGCCAATATTGTGAAATATTCTACCACGCTCAAAATTTGATATCAATGTATCCTGAAGAGAGGGATTTACTGACTCAACAAGGAGTAACAAGTCAAAAGTTATGAAAAATAGTTGAATTCATTCTCACATCATCATAGTATGAAAAAATATTAAACCACTTTTCAAGACTGTATCCAAAAGCTTTTTCATCAAAACATTGTATGGTAAGGATTCAGTAACTGAAAAAAGATTTAGTGATAAATGGAATTCATTCGAAGAACGACGAAAAAAGTAAAGCGGTTCCTTAAAACAACCCTTTGCATTGTCAACGTTTTCCCATAGTATTTCAACCTTCGCGTAGTTTGTCAAAAGCCATAACTACTCTTAAAATGTGTCCTAAATCCTTTCACAAATAGAGCTCAACAACTGATAGTCTTTCCGGAACATTTTCTCAGATGCTCTTTACCGGCATCGGTGATCTGATTACTCCTCAGATTAAGTATGGTGAGTTTGCATGTTGTTGTCTGTAATGCTTGACATAAACTAACAACACCGAAATCGGTGATCTGATTCTCATTCAGATCAAGTCTGGTGAGTTTACATGTTGGTGTCTGTAATGCTTGACATAGACTGACAACACCAACATCGGTGATTTGATTCCCAACCATATCAAGTGTGGTGAGTTTACTTGTTGGTGCCTGTAATGCTTGACATAGCCTGACAACAGCGGCATCGGTGATCTGATTATGACTCAGATCAAGAGTGGAGGGTTTACATGCTGGTGTCTGTAATGCTTCATATAGATTGACAAGACTGGCATCGGTGATCTGAATGGCACTCAGAAAAAGTATGGTGAGTTTACATGTTGGTGTCTGTAATGCTTGACCTAGCCTGACAACAGCGGCATCGGTGATCTGATTATGACTCAGATCAAGTGTGGTAAGTTTACATGTTGGTGTCTGTAATGTTTGACATAGACTGACAACACCAGCATTGGTGATTTGATTTTCACTCAGATAAAGGGTGGCGAGTTTACATGTTGGTGTCTGTAATGCTTGACATAGACTGACAACACCGGCATTGGTAATCTGATTTGCATTCAGATGAAGTGTGGTGAATTTACATGTTGGTGTCTGTAATGCTTGACATAGACTGACAGCACCGGCATCGGTGAGCTGATTTGCACCCAGATAAAGTGTGGTGAGTGTACATGTTGGTGTCTGTAATGCTTGACATAGACTGACAACACCGGCATCGGTGATCTGATTTGACATCAGATCAAGTGTGGTGAGCTTGTAAGTTGGTGTCTGTAATGCTTGACATAGACTGACAGCACCGGCATCGGTGACCTGATTATAACTCAGATCAAGTTTGGTGAGCTTCCATTTTGCTCCCCTTTTGGACTTTCCCTCGTTCACTTCAGATTCTCCCTCTGTATCGAGTGCACTAAACACATGAAACAGAAAAGACAAAGCGGTGCAGTCCACATCCGTCAGGTTGCTACCATAAAATAAAATACTTCCTTCTCGTATAAATATGTCATGGTGACGTTTCTTTACTATTCTTTTAGCAAACTCCACGTCTTCGTATTCCGTGAGACATTTAAACATTAGTATGACAGGCTGACGTCCAAGAGAGGAAATTCTTCTTAAAGGGGCAATTTCCTCCACTAACCTTTCCATCACTACGGCGTCTTTTTGCCTTGACAAAATACCGGACATAAACTGATATACTTCTGGAGACACATGTTTGGGGGGAATTTCTTTCTCCTTTACAAACCAACTAGCCGCTAAGTACTCTTGGAGAGTCAGATGGGTAAAACAAAAATATTTCGTTGTTGCAGAAAAAGAATTTCTGAAAGGAGGACCGCAATGAAGAAGACCGCTTCGACACAGAATTTCAACCTCTTGTAAGTTAAAAGTTCTCAAATCCTCTTTAATGAAAAGATACCTTCTCTCTCGAAGAAGTTGAGCGGCCAGCCTTGATAACTCATCTAGAGTCACTTTGAGAGAAAGTCTTTCGCTTTTATCGTGCTTTTGTACGAACATTCTCACTACTTCATCATAAAGGACACTGGTTTTAACCGGAAGTGGATATGTGATATCTGAATGCTGCAGATTATATTCAAAATAAGAACACATTAGGAGACATAGAACAGGAACGTGGGCAAAACTGACAAGATTGGCATTCTTTGTAATGTGGTCAAGTACAGTCTTTTTCATTCCTTCGTTGTTTTTGAAATACTTTCCAATGTATTCTTTTACCTGGGGCTTAAAAAATCCTGTGATTTCAACGTATCTGTCAAAATGAATGTGATTGTCTTTCATTTTGTCAGACTCATCAGGTCTTGACGTGATCATTACAACCGAACCTCGCAGTATTCTTCTTTTAATAAGCTTGGCACACAGTGCCGCTACTGGCATTTTCTCCATGGAGTTATTTGGGTACTTTTCATGTGAAACACTAGCAATGTAATCTTGTTGTGAACACTCGTCATACCCGTCGATGATAATCAAAACTTCTCCAGGATGATGAACAATGTACTCAAATAAGGAGTCGTCGATATTTGAGTGGTCATCTAGCACTGAAGATCGGTTTAAGATATCCTTCAAGGTAACAGGGTTGTCTCCAAGCAGATTAAGCTGACGAAACGTGAGCAAATATGCGAACTTAAAATCAGCCAGGTCGGTATTTGCAATGGATTGAAATAATTTGTTGTCAGCCCAATCTCTGATCAGCTTTTGACAAAACAGTGTTTTACCGATGCCAGCCTTTCCAGTGACAAGAACAGATTCTGGATGTTTACCATCAGTTGGGAGGAATATTTCTTGAGAGTGTTTTATTTTGTTACCACTTATTTGACCGTACTGGCGTAGGCGTTTCTCTCTTTTCAAATCAAGATCTTCGACTGACCCTTGTCTTTCCCTTTGGCCATGCGGGTTAAGGCATTCTTTTCTTTCCGAATCAAGACATTGGACTGGCTTTCTTCCATGTTGCATGAGAATGTTGGTGAATACGTGATCTGTTCTCACATTGGGCAAGGTTGGTGAGACCAGAGGAAGGTACTCGGTTTGGCCTCTTATTGACTCTTTCAATGCATTGGAGTATTGCGTTACACCTAAAAAGAAAACCGTCACCTACAATTATCTCATGAACCCTTCATGTATGACTTTTTCTTACTGAGCTCGACGAAGATTCATTGAACTGCCTGACTTATAACGCAATTGATTATAACGCCAGCTGAGTTTTGCTAAAATTATACTCTCCAAAAACGGCAAACTTGTCTTAAGTCCTGCTAAAACTCTGACTAGAATTTGAAAGTCTTGGGCATTGAAAAGGAAGAATCGGAGGCCCTACAAAAACTTTTCGAGAAGTTTTGCGAAACAATTCGTAGGAAAGACGTGGTAGATAACTGACCAAAAAAGAGTTCGGAAGCCCAATTATTCGTGACGGATAGATAAAAAGGTCGAACCAGCAAACTCTTGGTGGAAAAGGCTGACTGCTCTGACATCACAGGAAAGGGAAATTGCCGAACCAGTAAGCCATGGCACCCAAGAAGGAAAAAAGAAACGACAAACAAGGAAAAAACAGTCATATTTTTTGGCTGTGTATTACCTGCAGTTCGGGATAAATCAGTACTTAATGCAGTAAATGGCTTGAACCCGGGGGTAACATGTGAAGGTGTAATCTGATCGTCCGGGTGAGTGTAGACTTCAGAAGGACTGTTGTCGGTGGTAGTGACTGACGTTTCGACAACCTGTGCGGAAGTCATCATCAGAGTCAAGTGAATGATTGTTGTCAGTAGAATGTTCTTATTCCAGTTCGTGTGAAATGATCGGTTGGTTTTGCCGTGATGTTATTGGCTGTAAGACTCAAGTGACGTAAGTCGGTCGTGATTGGTCTGTTTCGATCTGTCGGTAAAGTTAGGTCGTTCTTTTTCGGTCGTTTGTGATGTTTATGTCGTGAATGAGTCGTTTGTATGGAGCGGGTAGTTGTTGACATCTGTTTAGGGGAGTCTGTTCTAAGTTAGTAAACCACCTTTCCATAGTCAGTAGTTGTGCGCGTCGTGTTAGAGTTCTCATAGTTGTGGCTTTGTGTGATGTAGGGTTGTAGGATGACTCGTCTAGTAATCTGTCGGTGTGTGTCGGTTTCCTGTAAACTGTCGTCCGTAATGAGTTGTCGTTGTGGCTTACCAGGCAGTCTAGAAAAGGAAGTTTCCCATTTTCGTCGACTTCTCTGGTAAACTGTATGTCATTGTTTTGTTCGTTAAGGTGGTGGTGGAATGCGTCAATTTCGTCGTGTGGAATGGCAGTGAATGTGTCTTCAACGTAACGTAACCAAAGCGGTATCGTTTGTCGGCAAGTCGAAAGGGCGCGTTCCTCGATGTTCTGCATCACAATTTCTGCTATAACAACAGAAATTGGGGACCCCATGGCAGTGCCGTGTAACTGTTAGTAGTGTTTACCGTTGTACTGAAAGTAAGTAGACGTTGGGCAAATATTTAACAAGTCCATGATGTCGTCTGTCGGTAGCGGTAGTGGGTCGGTAGATTGTCGGATTGCAGTCTCAGTGATTGTAATGTCAATTGAAGTGGAATACTTTTGAACAGTGATTTTACATCAAATGATACTAGTTTGTAGTCGTCAGGTATCTGAACAGTCTCGGTAGCGTTAATGAAGTCGTCAGTGGATTGTAGTTTATGTCTGGATTTGTCGGTTAGCGGTTGTAGTATTGTCGTCAGGTACTTGGATAGTTGGTTTGTGGGAGAGCCACAGAAAGAAACAATAGGTCGCATGGGGAAACCAGGTTTGTGTAGTTTCGGCAAACCGTAGAGTTTCAACAACTACCCGCTCCATAAAACCGTAGAGTTTCAACAACTGCCCGCTCCATACAAACGACTCATTCATGACATAAACATCACAAACGACCGAAAAAGAACGACCTAACT